AGCATCTAATCCACTCAGAGTCAGAGGCTACCTGAGTCTTCCCTAACCTGTGCATGCAGACCTCAGTGAGAATGAAAACAGTTAGTCAATGGCAGGAAATTCTTCGAACTTCCCAAATATATCACAGTTATCTGTTTTGGTGAAGTTTCTAACGTTATTTCCAATTTTCTATGTTTATCAATAATACAGCAATGAACATTTTTTGCATGTAAGTCTTTGTTCACATGTCTTTAAGAATTTAAAATGAAATTACCTATTACAGTTTATTTTTATTCAAGGCTCTCATCTGGAAACCACTTTAGTTTCCCTTGGGCCCAATTTTAAGGTCTGAAACAAAGACATAATATTTTGCATAATGGGGCAAAATTGCCTAGGACGCTTCCCTGTTCATACTGTTAAGTCAAGAAGGATATTCTGGGCAGGTACAGTGGCTCATGCCTATAATCCCAGCACTTTGGGAGGCCAAGATGGGCAGATCATCTGAACCCAGGAGTTGAAGACTAGCCCAGGCAACATGGCAAAACCCCGTCCCTACTAAAAATACAAAAATTAGCTGGACATGGTGGTACATGGTGGTCTCAGTTACCCAGGAGGCTGAGGTGGGAGGAGATCACTTGAACCCAGGAGGTGAAGGTTGCAGTGAGCCTAGATCATCATGACACTGAACTCCAGCCTGGACAACAGGGTGAGACAATGGCTCAAAAAAAGGATATTCCGGCACTACTGATGGAAGGCTTCTTAGCTTCTAAAATATGTCTACTCTCATGCAATGGTTGGCCTACTGGGTCACTGAACTTGAAAGGAAGAAGCTTTGCTCCCTCATTACACTGATTGATATAAAGTTTCTTCCTTATTTCCTGGGGAAATAATATTTTGAAAACAAATCTGTAAGACTTTGGTAAAGAGTATTACTAAATGCCAGGAAATAAGTAAGTCAGAAACCCTAACTCCAAATTTCCCAATTAGCTGAGCATCACCCATCCTTGGCGAAGTTGTTGTCTTAGCTGGAGAAGGTATGGGCATATCTCTATCCACAGGAGAAAAAGTTTACATTTGGGTCCTTCTCTCCTCTCTTCTTTGATGATATTCAATAGCAACATGTTTGCAGGGAGATTCTAAAAGGCATTGCCTCAAGTCTGAATTTTGATGATTTCCATGACTTTTATAGTTTTTTGGCTTGTGAATTCTGGAGGTATGAAACTGCAATTCTAGCCTGAAGCCTCAGCAAAGGCATCTCAGCTGAACTGGCTTGGCTGCCAATACTCCAACTGCCCCCACTGCTGACCTAGGCTGCAGTTTGGTGGGTGGTGAGAAAGACTGTGTTCCTAGAAGGGCTGTATGTGGGGAGAGGGACAGTGAGAGGAAGCTACCCTCAGAGATATGCTCCTCTGTGGCCCAAATTTAGCTGCCCTGGGAGAGTGGCTGGCTCTGACTAATGGCTAACAGAACCTGTAGCCAGAGTAAACTCTTCACTACTTGACAAGACTGAGCTGGTGGAATGAAAGATAATTCCTAGCAGGGATGGTGGTCTAGATAGCAGCAATGATATATTTAGTGCTCACTCTGAGCTAGTGCTCCTCTAAACACTTACAGATACTCATTTAATGCTCATGGCAACACTACAATAGAGGTATTAAAATGCTCTTTTCTTTACACAGAGGAAACGGAGGCCCAGAGAGGTCATGTAACTCCCTCAAGGTCATATGGTTAGTGAAATGATAGAGCCACATTTCAAAGCCAGGTAGTATGATTGTAGCACCTGGGCTGTTAACCATGGCCTCTTCTTGCTTAACTGTAATGGTGCTCCTGTCAAAGGCAACACAGCACTTAGTCCACCAAGAAAAAGCTTCAGAAGCCACGAAAAGAAATCAGTGAATGTGGTAATAATCCTTGAGCTGGAGTAAGACATGAAGAGAAAAACAGTGCAAACCTTGGGAATGACTGTGATTCTTGAGCACCTGGATAGCATAAACCTCTGTCAGTCTCACGCAACCCAAGAACCCTTCATATTTTAACCTTGGATATGTGGCTTTTTACTAATCAGGAGGCACTTTGCATTTTTCTTCAAAATTAGAATTCAAAATTATTACAGATGTTAAGTTTGAGGTAGTATCAGCTCCAGGAAGCTTTTAGGTGCATGTTGCAAATTATATACTGAAATGCAACGTGCCATCAGTGAATAGCTGCTTTTGCGACAGAGCGGGGCAACTTGCATTTTACGCTCACTAAATTGAAAAGAAATAGACATGCGAAAAAAAGCCATGAAGCAGCATGAACTCTAGGATATATTTCTACTCTCCAGGGTGACGTCAAATAATATCATTTTGAAAGTGGTTAGAATTAATTTTTTGAGGTCAGTCTGATGTCCCTTGTTATGAAGAAAAATTCACATGTGAATTATAAGGATTTGTACCTATTGTTTTCCAAATCTGCTTATGCATGGCTTTTATTTGCAGTAGAAAGAGTGTTTGTGGTTTCTTTACATAGTAAGTGCATGTGTGTGCACCTGTATACACACACATTCTCCTATACATCTAGAAATAAGGCTGTCATACTTCAAATAAAGCTGAGACTTTAAATACATGCTAAACACTTTCATTGTGGCAATATACTTTTTATTTTTATTCTAGTACTTTAGGTATTCTGCCCCAATAAACAATGTGAAAGACTGGAATAGCTGCAAAAGCTCTCTGTGAACACTTTCTTCAAGTGTAAATTATTGGAAGGCTGTTTATGTAACTCATGAAAATCCATAGTTTTGTATCCTTTTAATCTTGGTGAATCCATCGTACTGACAGAATTCTGCTTTTAGTCTATGCTTAAAAATCGGATTTATTTCTCCAACTTATCATGAAGAAAAGGAAATGAAATTTTACTTTCGGATGTATGTAATTTGGATTCTGCACATATTCGCTGAGGTTTAATGCTTCTGTAGTTTTCACTTCTGAATTTGTCAAGGCTTAAGCTAAACAGGGCAATTCTCTCCATGAGGTTCTGGTGGGTTTTTTTTTTTTTTTGGATAACATTATCATATAAAGTTCTTATTCATTCTCAATAACGTTATTTCTTGAGTATTATTTAACACTCATCCCTCCCCTATCACACATGTGCTAGAAACTCCCACAGGCTATAAGAATTTTAGAACTACCTCATGTGTGCATTTATTTACTTTCTCTTAATGCTCCTTTATTCTCATGTTTCCATACCCAATGTTTTGGGCCAAATCATTTCAACATGAAAAATGCACACATTTTCCTATCGCTTCGTCTATTCTATTGCTTGCAGTCTGCTAAATGAGCTCTGGAAGAGTGTTGCAGAAAAGAAAAACAGTAAGGAAGCTTGAGAATCTGCAAAGGTGACTAGTTGGAAGACAAATAAGGGCTATGACTGTCACCTGTTGGTTAATCTCATAGAACCTTAGAGCTGGAGGAGCTTCAGAAGTTGCATTCATCTACTTTTCCCCCCTCTACTGCTACCTAGAGGAGGGCGAAACTGCCTTTGCAAAATTGTAACTGAGGAAACTACAACAGTGAAAGAAATCAGACCTAACCAACTCCATCTTGCTTCTAATCTTTAGGCTGTCCTTGTTCATTCCTGGGCATAGAGTGAACTAACTTTGGGAAGGAATTCAGTTCCTGGTTGGACCCAAACAAAATTGATAACAGCCCTTTCCCTAAAAGACCCCCTTCTTTCCTGGGGACCAGTCTGCCTTTGTTGGACTAACAAATTAGCTACAAGATTAGAATTACAGTTTAGAGGTCTTGTAGCCTCTGGCTCCTAGAGTCTGAACCTCCCAAAATTTCTCTTGGGGATAACATCACTATTGTAAAATCTAAGATGAGTGCTTGAGATATTTTGCAGATCCTGCACTCAGTATATCAGCTGACACCACCCAGACCAATAATCTGGCTTAAGCAGGTCTGCCATCCCACCCAGGAACAGAAGACAGTAAGAAAACCATCTATGATTCCATCTCCAACCTGACCAATCAGCACTACCCACTTCCCAAGCCCCTACCCGCCAAATTATCTTTAAAAACTGATCCCGAATACTTGCAGAGACTGATTTGAGTAATAATAATACTCCATCTTGTGCACAGCCGGCTCTGTGTAAATTACTCTCTCTCCATTGTAATTCCCCGTCTTGATAAATTGGCTCTGTTAGGCAGCAGACAAGGTGAACCCATTGGGCGGTTACAAAGGTACCAGTGTCTCTAGACCCCCAGGGATGTTTAAATGGCCTTCTGACTATGTCTCATGATTCCACTCTTGCTTTCTCCCCAACCCCCAACCCCCAACCCTTTGGTTTCAATTTCCACAGGCATTTAGACTCATCTTTTAAAAATAGAAATCAGATTTCAATCCACTGCTTAAAACCCTCCAATGGTTCCCATAGACTTAGACTACAGTTGAGACTTCCTACTGACAGCACACGAAGGCAGCACAGTGTGGCTCCTGCACGGTTCTATGCCTTGGTCTCCTGCCACTCTCTGTGGCTCCCCATACTACAGCCGCACTGGGCTTCTGTATATTTCTTGGATGCCAAGCTCCTTTCCACCTTAAGCCTTCTGCCTGGACTGATTTTTTTCTGCAGATCCTTTGCATGTCTGGTTCCATTCTGTTGAACAGTTCTCAATCAAATTACTTTCTTAGAGAAAATCCCCCGACTAACCCATAAAAAGAAGCACCCCTGCTTTCACGGTACCATTACCACATCACTCTGATTTTATTTCTTCCTAATTTACAAATGAATGAAGAGCTTCTATAGGGGTCAAAGAGTTAAGGGCATTAATTGTGTTCTTGCCTTCTTCTTGAGCCAGAGGTCAGCAGCATTCTGCTAGTCAGTGGTATGGATGGCTTATTTGTGCCCACAGCCTATGGCTTTCAGACTACACAGTTATATCCCCGACGGTCCTCTGATCTACTTGTCCAGTATCTCTACCACTGGAACAAATCAGAATAAGCCCCCTTATTCAAATGCGGGCAAATTTGGGCACTTACTTATAGTAGATCCAGACTCAGGCCTGTTCAGGGAGCTGATGATGACAAAGCCAAAGCCCTCGTTCTCTTTGCGGTGAATGACCACATCACTGGTCTGCAGGCTGTGGGAGGCGAAGCCTTCAGGAGGAGAGGCATTGCTACTGGGGGCAGCGTGGTTGCTGTTGGTGTAGGTTGCGTAGTCACTGCGTGGAGAGCTGTGGTGGGTGGATACAGAGCCTGGACTTCTTCCGTTCTCTGGGCAGGGCTCCCCTGGAGAATACACCACACACGGATAAGCAATTACTTGACAAGGGACTCAATGAATGCTTCCTATGTACTAGGCACTGTTCTAGACACTGGTAATGTTACAAGACTGGTTGACTTGATTCTCTTTCTCCTAGATATGCAGAGCATTTGAAAAATCACAGACCTAGGTTCAGAGCTTCCAAGGTCTTGCTCAGTTCTAGCTTTTATAGCAAGCACAGGTAAACCCCTCATCAGCCTCCTTTGCACTGTTATTTATTTATATCTTCTTCTTGTGAGAACTGCAAACCCCTGGGACAATACCTAGTTTTAGATATTGAGGTTCTTCATTGCATAATAATTTACTGAAGATGGTCACAAAACAAGTAGAATCTTAAACTATATGGTGCATAAGAATCACTAAAATAAATTATAAAAAAAAGTACATTTTCATGGGCCACCCACAGAATGTTTTTTCAGTAGGTCTGGGCACAAGAATCTGCATCAAGTTTCAAGGCTACACTTTGAGAAATGCTACTGTAGATGTATTATAATGAGGGTTAACAGCGCAGGGGCCATCCATGTAAAGTTAACCATCATGCGTTTTTCTAAAGAGCTGTAGTTCTATTTTATAATATTCTGCTAGCTTAGAAGTGTTGCTTTACTTCATGTATGTGGAAAATATGCTTCTTAAAAGTAGTTTGCACAGCTTTTTGTATATCAACCATATCACAATGAAGTGGTTTAAAAGAATAAATAAGTAAGTTGAGATTTTTATTAAAAAATATTTTGCTCACTCTAGGATCAAATTAAATTTCAGGCTCTGAAATTATGAAGTTTGAATCTCTAAGGAGCTGTTGAAAGTCTTTTCCATTTTTACAGTCTATATTAATATAAAATATACTCTGTTATCAACCAGATAAGCCAAACCAATACTTTCATGAGAAAGCCAGCATATTTACATGAAGAAATGATAGAAAGTTGGCAGCCAAAAGAAGCTAGTTTTTGAAATGAAAGTTTATCTGTCATCCAGAAAGAATTTTGTCATTTTAATTTAATACCTGGGTATTGGCACTCTGATGAAAAGAACTGAAGCGGGCACCTAGAATAATGTAATTATAACTAGAGTTGCTTTCATTCCCAACTTAAAATTTGATTAGTGTACTCAAAAGATGTTTATGGAACAGAGGAAAGATGGAGAATAATCACCATTAATTATTCCATTTTGGGTCCCTAGATATAGTATCCTATTTAGAAACTCTGGAAGGTGTTACATATGGCAAATGAAAAATCATTAGCAAAAGTTCCAATGAAGACTCTTAACCTTATAAGCTGCAATTCCATTTTGAAATAAAAACATCAGGGAGAAAAAACAAAGACTGCAAGAGATGTTTTGTTACATCGATACCTAAAAAAAGAAGCTGCATTTGTTTATATACTTAGATTTTTAAAACGGTCTTATTAAAATGTACTCATTTCTTGTTTGTAATTACAGAATGAATGAGACCCAGGCTGTTGCTTGTTATTATTTGGTAAATTTGATTTTTCTTTAAGATCTAATTAATCATGTTTAAATAAAAGAAGAAAATGGACGCTTTTTGTAAGAAATGTACTGAGGTCATAAAAGAAGGGAATGTCAATGTCAAAGCCTTTCTTTGTTTTCAAACAGAATGTAAAACTTCGCTTGTAAAATGTGCCCTCCCTACCGGAACACATCATCCAAAGACAAGTTGTCTTGGTGCATCGCTTGTCTTTTATCAGTCCTTGTACAAGTTGGAAATAAAGTGATTGGAGATAGTTAGGAAGAAGAAAAACAAACAATTATTACAGTGCTACATTAAATTGAAAATCTCCTCGAGCTATTGGACCAAATCAGTAACTAAATGTCATAGGCAGTGACGAGAGATCTCATTTTCTGGCTGTCATATTTTAGGAGGTTGAGAGCTGTGGTTGTCAGTAGATCAGCCACAAAGAAGAATTATCTGTCTTTGCAGTAAATGGCTGGGAGTGGCTACATTACAGGTTCTAGAGAGAAAATCATTGACTAAGGTAATGTGAACATTCTCTGGGTAAGAGAAAGAATTGTATACATTAATAGGATACTTTTCTACTGGCTTTGGACTTCTCTTTCAGATTCCAGAACAAAGTTCTTTATCTTTAGCCAAATGAATATATTTAAAATCAGGAAGTTAAGAAGACTTCGAAGTTCTTCCGGGGCTTGTTCTGGGCCCTTGACACTTGAAAACTGGTCACATGATTGTCTTTCAGGGATTGACCCCATATCATTTTCTACTCATCTGGCTCTGGACCCAAGTGAGACTGTCTTCTATCCAACAGTCCTTCCTACTGTAGGGCATTAACAGCCTTGTTTTTTTTTTTTTTTTTTTTGAGATAGAGTCTCGCTTTGTTGCCCAGGCTGGACTGTGATGGTGTGATCTTGGCTCACTGCAATCTCTGCCTCCTGGGTTCAAGCAATTCTCCTGCCTCAGCCTCCCAAGTAGTTGGGATTACAGGCGTCTGCCACCAGCCCAGCTAATTTTTGTATTTTTAGTAGAGATGGGGTTTCACCATGTTGGCCAGGCTGTTCTCGAACTCCTGACCTCAGGTTATTTTCCAGCCTCAGCCTCCCAAAGTGCTGAGATTACAGGTGTGAGCCATCGTGCCCAGCCAATAGTCTTGTTTAATCATAATATGGTAAAACACCATAAAGTGACTAAATATCATGTATTATATAATTTTTAAAAGAAAATTCACTGATTTCCAGGATCCCTGACTTATTCTTCTACTTCATACACAAATGGCTGCATAGAATTCAGTCGGTTAGTATCTACTCAAGTCAAATAATTAATTTTTAGGGTAAGCTGCTTTGTCTCCACCAGTCACAGTGGAACTCATCACTGTGCTAAGAGAATGTCTCCCATTGGGATTGTGGGAATCATTGATAATGCCTCCCAGGTGGGATGGCATAGACCAGGACATTTAACTACTGGCCAGGGGCTGTTTCTGGTCTGCACTTCATTTGAGAATTGTTAAAACTAATTGTCAATGTTTGTGCATAGGGAAACTGTATAGAAATGCTGATCTGCAGTTTCTCTTGACATATTTGGCACCAATTGGCTGGAGCTTCATGATGGCTGCTCCCTTGACTGGATATGGGGTTTGCAGGTCACCATAGTCCTGACCACTCCCCAAGACCTCTTGCAAATGTCTCATTCACTCATTTTATTCATACAGTGAGGAATTCTCAGGGCTGAAGGAACTTGTTCAACTGGACCCTTAGTTTCTTTTCTAGACCATACACTACATACCAGGACTCTAGAATTCTGTAACCATATAGACTTTGCATCTAGAGTATGCCTGGGTCTCTACTCGGGACTGTCCCTGAAAGGATGAGAGTGTTGCAGACAGGCATATTTTGCCTTGAAGCATGGCTTAGGCAATGGGGTATATGTATGGACAGAGTTTGGGCATGTGGGCTGTGATGTCCACATGCATGTGCATCAGGTCCCTCGTGGTACCTCACGAGGCGGAGCAGCCCACAGGTTGTGGCCCTGAGAATGCTGGGGATGGCCTGCCTACAGGCATCTGTGCAGACATTCCCAGTTTATACTAATCAAGGCAGACAGCTTATTTAAGTGGGTGACATGGTTGCAGACAAAGAACAAGGGAATACATCTAGAATTGGCAAGAAGTGTAGTAACCAGGATCAGGGAATGCACTAGCACCTTCAATATTTGCTAAACTTTTCCCCCATCTGCCAAGACAACCTCCCCTTTCTTGGCATTAGGCCAAGAATTAGACTTTCCTTTAGGTGTTAGAGAAAAGATGCTGATAGCTTTAAGAACGACTCTAACATGTTTTGATGAAGTCATAAAACATTCTTTCACATCAATTCCAGATGTACTTTTTAGGAAATTTCTCAGAGGTATGATGTGCATCCAAATGTGCCATTAGGTTGAATATCTCAAAGCTGATCCACTGAATATATAAATATTTATGCTTTTCAGTATAATAATTGAAGCCACCCTTCTAATATCCTTGGGAAAATGAACAACTAAATACTGGAGCTGAGGCATGGATAGGCATCTTCTCTCAAAAACCGATGCAAGGTGAAAGTGTGTGCTATGACTATCTGGTAAATAAAACTGGAGGCAATTTATATCCATAGCTGCCTGCTAAAGCAATAAAATAAAAATAAATGAAGAAAAGAAAAATTGGAATTACTACTGGACACTTTCTTCCCTCACTCAACAACTGCTCACTTTTGAGAAACTAGTTTATTTTCTGATTGAAAATTCTGGCTTTCTAGGCCAGGCATGGTGGCTTAGACCTATCATAGCACTTTGGCAGGCTGTGGCAGGTGATCACTTGAGCCTAGGTATTCGAGACCAGCTTGGGCAATATAGCGAGACCCCATCTCTACAAACAAATACAAAAAATAGCTGGATATGGTGGCACACGCCTGTAGTCTCTGCTATTCGGGAGGCTGAGGCCGAAGGATCACTTCAGCCTGGGAGGTTGAGGCTGCGGTGAGCCGTGACTGCACCACTGTACTCCAGCCTGGGTGACAGAGCGAGACGCTTTCTCAAAAAGAAAAAAAATTTTTTTGCCTTTCTATCCTTAGTATGTACATTTAAAAATAACTTAATGTTTGGGGCAAGTTTTTGTGTTATCTTAATTTTTGCTCAGCGTAACTAACCTTTTTATATCTCTCATAATGAATGTGTTCTTTTTCTTGAGCATCAGTGAAGAAGCCAGTGCCCTCTGTCTTCTAAGGTGAGGTGGGCATTTGTACAAGCTGAGGCAAGAAGAAGGCTGATGCGTCATCCCTATGACCTTGCTGCTTTTTAGCCTTTTCCCCACAGCACTGCTCCTTTGTGCATGCGGGTGGTGATGCTGCTCCTCTTCCTGCTCCTGTCTCTTCCTTAGCTAATTGCTCACTTCCCCTCAGCTTGGAACCATCTCCTCCTAAACCAGGCTTGCACCTCCTACTGCCTTTGCTTAGGAGAGCATAATAATAACAAAACAATAATGACAACAACAGTCCTTGAAAAGGCAACTCCATTTTCATATTCATTTGTAGTTGTCCCTTCTCACTTAGAAGAAATGGGAGCTATGAAGAAAAGTCACCTTGCTATGCTTTTTTTTTCTTTAAAATCTTTTCCACCCTGTTTCATGGCATTACTTTGCTATCGAAGTATCCTTTGCTGAACTTAATATTTTCAGTACTGATGAAGCTTTCAAGGAAGAGTGGGCTGAATTAACTTGGAAACTCTCCTGGTGTGAATGAGCAATCTGCAGCAGAACATTTTCAAAAATTAAATGCACTTGAAATGCACTCAAAAGCCTAACTGAGTAAAGTTGGTAAGAGCTGCAGCAAAGAGCATCTTTACGGAAGTCACATGATCCACAAATTGCAGGAATATATTTTTGCAGCATTTGGTACACACTTCAACAGCTTGGGCTGATTGAAAGAAAATTTAATTTGCAATAATCAGCTGGTGACAAGGGGAGCGTGAAATTATGTTGGTGCATTGGTTTTGCACTTTGCGGTATATTTCCTTGTAAATCAGGTGTCTTTTAAATTTATCTTTAGGTTATAGAACATATAGCACAGCAAACTTTTTATTAAAAATTACTCTGCAGGAAGAGAGACAGTTAAATGTTAACCAAGCAAGCACTGTCTTCTTCCTGGCATTTAGCCCAAGGATAAGGCATAATTTAAGATGCTTTACTTCTTTGGGTCAAGTGACATGCCATGAATTTCTGAAGACAAATGGCACCTCTTAGCAAAAACTCTATAAGATACAAGATATATAGCAGTCTCTACTGGTGAGGGCTGACAATTCTTTTGACTTGCCCTTTTAAATGACCGCCCTTGCTCATGGTCTAGTTTCTAGGGGGACTTAGAAAGAAAAGGATTTTTAGTCACACGAATAAGGCTTATCTTCTCTACTAGTCATTCATAGCCCATCATTACCCTTTGGTCCTCTTCTGGAATGCATCTGGTATAACAGCACATATGGGAAGATTCCCTGTTTTAGGGAGTGACATCTACTAAGATCTGGCCTAAAATCTTTTAATTCCCTAGGGTAGAGGACTGTAGTAGAATGGGGAATCGGACAAAGTAACATAAAGAAATAAACACTGGCCCTAGAGAGGAGTCCATCTCTGCATTGTCACAAACTCACTGTGGAATACTGGGCAAGCTATCAAACCTCTGGGCCTCAGTTTCCTCATCTGTAACAAGAGGAAGCTCACATAGCTAAGGTCCTTCCCACTTCAAATATTGATGATTCTGTATGAGGGCTGCCAAGGGGTTGGGCAGAGCAGCCATCGGGCCACTGGGCAGAAGGTGACAGCTGAACATAATTGAAGCTTCTGCCCCTGTGATTCACAGAACAAAGGCTGGGTGGTTTTGAGGGAAGATAATACAATCCCAATGTTATTGAATGCTCAGATTCTAAAAAGGAGTGTGGTACTTGTAACTGACATACTCCTTGAAAATATAAATAATCTTTTTGTGGGGGTTGATGTGGTAAAGAGAGATAAGTGAGATTGTATTATAAATACAAGGGCTGACTTTGAAAAGTATGTCTTTGGTGGATTCCTTTATAAAGCTGAGAAAATGGTTGTAAAGGGAATAATTATTTCTAATTTATCTGTTTCATAAGTTTAGGGCTATATGACTGTGTTTTCTTGGAGCGAGGTACAGTTGTATTTTTTCTATATCGGGGCAGTAGCTTTATTGTTACCTTTTATCAGGCTCTACAATGAAAGCTAATTTTCCATCCTGTCTGCCTCATTATGGCATCAAAATGCTGTGGCTCTTGGTTTGTAAACACATTTTCAAATGGCATATTTCTTGGTACTATCAGGTTCTTCTTAGAACTAGCATCTACCAGAAAGCAGAGAGCACATATACCTTAAATTAGCCCCAGGCCATTCTAAAAATTTTTAATGACTACATTTAAAATACAGGCCTCAAAGATGGATCTTTATCCTAGTGGGGTGAACATCAGCACTTTCAAAATCATCATTACTTTTGGAATATCTAGGTTGTTTCCTTCCTCATGTAGACATGGATTTAAAATTTTGTTTCGCATGCCCTTACCATGCCTCACAAAAGCATCTTACCACCTACCCCTTGATTCTTGCAGTGGGTGCCAAGTACGTACCTCCACATAGCACCTTTCTTCTCACAGTGAGATTGACCTGCCCATTGCGGGCTGCATGGTGCATGAGGTCGATGACATAGCGGTGGGTTTTGCCGGCCACTGGAATCCCATCAACATACACAAGCTCATCTCCTGGGTGAAGGCGGCCATCTCTGTCGGCTGAGCCCATGGCAATGACAGCTCCAATCAAAATCTAGAGAAGCAGTGAGAAGGAAAGAAGGTTCATATTTCAAATCTTCTTTTTCCTTTTTATATACAGTTAGGTAATTTGTAGAAGATTTTATTCTCACATTCTATTCCTTGCCCTCAAATCTGACCAGCCACTTGTAAAGTTAAAAATGAGATGTGGGAAGGATGCCCTTTCACCTCTTTCAAGTTGCTTAGTACCAGAGATGAATATTTTGAACATGCTGCTGACTGACATGAAGTTTTGGGGACACCTGCTTTATGACTCATCATAAATGATCACCTTAAGGAAAATTATAATCTCAAATAATCTGAGGCTAATTGGCTGAAACAAGATGAGGAGTGAATTCTGGCTCCATTTCATATTTGTGTGGTCTTGGGTAAAGCTTCTTAAACTATGTGAGCCTCAGTTTCTTCACTTGCAAAATAAGAAAAGTAATAATCGAACCTACTTCATGGAGTTAATGGGAGAACTGGATGAAATAACTCATGTGAAGCATTAAACTTCTCTCATGGCACTGAGTCAAGGGGAAAATAGCTGTTGCAAATTGTTAAATTCTGATAAAGATGGAAAGTTTCCGTTTTCTTTGCTTTGAAAAGCTTGAGGGTAAGGAGAACACAAAACAAAACAAAGCAAAACTCATAGCGGGCTTTTTCTGGTCAGTTGACTTACTCAAAAACATCTCAAACCTTCTCCAGATTTTTTTGCTCCATTCTTTTAAATACTTCCTCAGAGCACTGTCTTCAATGCAAAGGACACTCCCAGTTTGTCTTGTTTGCTGAAGTGCTTCTGTTATTTAGGTGGCTACTGTGCTGGAAAGTGAGGAGGTACCCATCTGGGAAATGTGTGTTTTTTTTTTTTTTTTTTTTTTTTTGAGATGAAGTTTTGCTCTTGTTGCCCAGGCTGGAGTGCAATGGTGTGATCTCAGTTCACTGCAACCTCTGCCTCCCAGGTTCAAGTGATTCTCCTGCATCAGCCTGCCGAGTAGCTGGGATTACAGGCACCTGCCACCATGCCCAGCTACTTTTTGTATTTTTAGTAGAGATGGGGTTTCTCCATGTTGGCCAGGCTGGTCTCAAACTCCTGACCTCATGTGATCTGCCATCTTGGCCTCCCAAAGTGCTGGGATTATAAGCGTGAGCCACTGTGCCTGTACGAAATATGGTTATCGTTATAATTCCCTGAACCAGGGACTGTGATGAAAGGCAGCACATTAGGTTTCCCATGTCCCATGAGAGGCACTCAGTTTAGTGTCTGTTAGCAGGGCTTTTTTCTTTCTCAGAGGAAAGAAAATAGTGTTACATATTTTAATTTTGTCATTTAACCTATAAACAGTTTTTTCAAACTCATGACCAATAGGTCTCCCTTTTCTTTTACCAGTGGCTTGGCCATACAGCAGCTGATGGCAGTGATTACCATTAGCCTGATGACACTACAGAGGCTATGTTTTATTTAAAATCCCTTGCTTCCAGATTGATTTCCTTCAGGCATCATAATTTATTTCAAATCCCCTATCGGTGATTTCCAGCTAATTTTCAGAGTTGCTCCATCATGACCTACGGGCTTGCGTGTGTTCAGGCTTGGCAGCAGAACCATTCCTTTGTACTTAGTCTCACTGCTCAGTGTGGCCTGTCAACATGACAGCCAGATCTGAATGCCCAGGACTTCTCAGGTACGTGCAAAGTAATATTCTGAAGGGCGTCACAGCCTTAGTCCATGGAATAGCTCTCTTTCTACATAGGAATGAAAATTTCCCATGCTACTGCTGCTTGCTTTCCCCTTATTCCTGGGGAGAGAGGTGGGGTGAATAGTAGATTGCTTCCATGTAGAATATTAAGTATTCCGACAAGTGATTCATGATTGCTGTCACAGGAGAGGCTGAACTCTCCTGCCTTACACTGGCTGCACAGGGTGGTTCTTTCCCTGCCACCCACTGTACCCATTTGCTACAGTCCAGAAGTTGGGTATGCTCTGACATTCTCCATTCTCCCTTCTTGTCATGCCAACCTGAATTTATGAGTTTCCTTATAAAGATGTTCCAATCTATTCTTCAAAAGGCTCAACCCACTATGGAGCACTTCAAAGATTTGGTAAGTGCTTTGTGCAAAAGCCAGTTAAAATAAATGTTTCTCTACTGCCCCATGAAAAGGTGCATTTAGTTGGTTTGATCCAAAAAAATGCTTCAACCTTTAGCTTTCCTATACACTTTAGTGAGAGAGTTTATTGCCAGTTAAAAAGGAAAAAACTGTCTTGTGAACTTCTTGGCTGGTTAAATATCAGTTTTAAGGTATGGTTCTGATTCTAACTAAAGAAAGTAAAACACAAAATAGTGGTTACAACTGAGAGAGTCTTAGCTGCAATTGGGCCATACACAAAAATGGTAAAGATGAAATTTCATACCAGAAAATTCCTATTCCTCTCTTGCTGTAGGAGAACAGCATGAAATACAGCAACATTTACGGATACTCTCAACATTACAGTCTGTGCCAATAGTTTAATATCATTTGTTGAAAAAAGCCCAGTAAAAGATCTGCTTTTCTACCATATTGCTGTGATATAAAGCACTCCCCTCATTAATTCATTTATTCAACAAATATTCATTGAGCCCAAGATACTTTTAGGTACTAGAAATCCATCAGTGAACAATAAACAAAAATCACTGTCCTAAAGAGCTTCCGTTCTAGTGGTCAATCATAACTGTAATAATGTTTAAATTATATAGTATGCCCAAAGGCATATACTATGGAAAAAATACAGTGTTGGGAGTGGTGTCAGTCTAGGTAGTGGTAGAGGTGGTTAGAGTAGGCCTCTTATTTATTTCTAAATAGGCAGTATATTCAATTACCCCTTCAATTGAATATCTAATAAATAGCATATTCAATATAACACAAACATGAATTATATAGTATTATATATTTATTGTATATATTATTATATAATTACATTATATAATGTATTCTTTACCATGTTTCAAAAAAAGTTTGCCATACTGTTAAATGTACTTGAATTGAGCTGCATCTGGTGCACTGTGTGGGTGCTAGCAGTGCTTGGCCATTAGCAGTATTATACAGTTACATTTGTTCCCTCCATCAGGAGCTGCAGCCTTTGCTGGCAGAGGCTGGCCACTGGCACCATCTCTGCTTCTAGCTCCCCTGCTGCTGTGCTCCTTAGCCTTTGGCATTTGCCACCTTTTTGCATTATATTTCACTGCTGACACAGAGATAGCGTGATGTGTTGCTCTATTCCAGAAAAAAACAACTTTTTTCCTTTACTTCCAATATGATTTGTACACTTGACACATTCTATTATTTCCCCTTTGCCACCATAGGGACTGGATAATCTCTGATTCCTTCTCACACTGTAACTCGTATTGGTTTGCCTATGCATACATTCTCATGTTCGCTTAAGCTCTTGAGAACATGCCTCAGGATATCTGACTCTTGAAGTCAGTAGTTCTCAAACTTTTGGATGCATAGAAACCACCAAGTGAGCTTATTAAAACAGCACTGGATCCATCTTGTGAGAATCTAATATTGCAGGCTTGGGAGGGGCCTGAGATTCTGCAGGTTTAACAAGCTCCCAGGAGTTGAATGCTGCTGGTTCATAGATCAGTTGCCCTTTGATAGCAAGGCTCTGATTCCTCTCATTTCCCAGTAGCCACAGGATGATCATGTCCAAGTCAGCTGAACACATGACCAGAGTTCCCTGACCCATCACAGTAGTCACTTTCCAGTTCTGCTAAGGCACCTGTTCCCCTCATCCCTTACCTACCAGGTCACTGACCTTCTAGTCACTGACCCCTGACCCACTGGCCAGTGAGCCTTTCCAGGCAACTCTAGCCTTGCCCCATTCATTACCTCCCTCCAGCCCAGGGGGACTCTTCAACCTCAGCTGACCCTTCAGTTCCAGTATTCAGTTTTCTCTTCTCTGCCCTCTGGGAGGAGGAGGGTGTATGTGTGTGTGTGTGTGTTTCCCTACCCCCATTGTTTTGGCCCTGAAGAAAGCTTTGTGGCAAAACAGAGCAAGAAAGAACTTCTACATGAACAACTCATCTGTGGCCCTATCTTTTCAACTGTCTTCTCTAAAACCCCAAAGAAACAAAACAATTCTACTTTATCTCTCGCTGTGAGGGCACGGAACAAAACAGAACATTTGATATGAAATAATGGCAATTCACATTCAAGTTGCTGAGATCCCAGTAAGTTGGGGGAAAAACTCACACTAAAAAGAAAACAACAACCACAACAACAACAAGTAAGACACAAACCCCAAACCACCTTTCCAGTCCTTTTAATCCCTTTAATTCCTTCCTGCACTGCCCAATGTTAGCCTAAGCCCAGGAGATCTGCTCTGTAGTATCTGTAGCCCGGGACAACTTGCCACTATGGTGAGCAGATTTCAGGCTCTTTCCTCCTGAAACTCCTGCACCGGGTGTGCACTGGACTCCTGTACCGGGTGTGCACCGGACTCCTGTGTCAAGCAAGGACTAGGCCTGTCATTGTCTGTCTTCGAATGGCTTTTCTCCAATGCAGTGTTTTCCACACCTTTCCCTCTTGATGCCTTTCCATCTCTTTTCAGCTCACAGCTGGAAATCCCAATTTTGTTCCTTTCTGGCAACTTTTCATTTCTTTCTATTTCTATTGCTATTTAACTGTGGAAAGTATTTCCTCTTGCAGGAAAAATGCCCGTATGCTTTGTCTGAGCAGGAGTCCTGCTGTTCATTATTTGCTGAAAGCTGTGCTGTTGTGTTTAATGTGCACTCTGGGATGTCAATATCATTTCATATATATGGAGGCAGAAACCCATTTGATGCACTTATGAGACCTCCTTTAGTTGGGACCAAGTCACCTTACACGCCTCTCCCTTTGTTGCACACCAGCAACTAAATGAGGCTAACACATTTTGTTTGTTATCTCAGGACTTAGAATGTAGAAAAGCTGGAAGGAAAGGCTTGTGGGAGCTCTTTACTGCTTCACTCTCCTGGACAGGGTTATTCTGAGATGCAA